GAATATAACTATTTTTGTCATTTCATTTTTATTTATTTATTATTTTTTAAACCTATTAAACACATACCACTATAGACCGCAATTTTTTTTTTTAATATTTAAATTGTCTATTATTTAGCCCATCACACACACCACTTTCTTTAACATCTGGGCCCAGCTGTAACACACCTTTTAAATCAAGAAAACCGTTAGTTATACAAAATATCTAAGCGTTTTCTGAAGTTTATTGTATTACAGGAACAACAAAAAAAATGTTATGCTACAGTGAAGAGCAATGGATTTGTAGTGATGGATGTTCAAAATGTTTGTCCACAGCTCCTGTCACGATAGACATTTATATGTGAACATGAACTGAAACTGTAGAAGTGCACCATTAATTAACTAATAGCAGAATAATAGAAGTTGTTGTAAAATATGTGATATGAAATGCCAAATGTAAAATTAACCAGGAAATGATCTTTAAAACTTTCTTTTTACACAAATTACATGAATCCATCAATGTTATACACTTTGAGGACTCAATTAAAACACATTTTGTGGTTTTTAAATGTCAGATTTTTTACCTAAGGTAATATTGCAAAACAATATTAAATGAATGTATAAGACATTGTAAAAATGAGAACAAGAACAACAAAATTTCCACTATATAGCATTCTTTAGAGATGTTTTTTAAGGAACAGACTTCTTGCACAGCTCATCTGTTCTGTTTGTTGAAGCATACACTTTTTATTTGACATAAGCATACATTAAGTAATTATGCTTATATAGCCTAAGGTTTACTGGTACATTAGCAGAATTGCAGATGAACAAACCCTGGTGAAGAAATCCCTGTTGAACACATCAAAGAACACATAGGCTCTCTCAGTTCATCATCTCACCGTTATCAAAACTCATGCACACTTTTATAGTTTCACACAGCACACGTGAGATTCTCTCTCCTCCATTTGTCATGATATGAACTGTGTTTGGGGTGTAATAGTTTCCACTTTGTGATCTGCTGGGTTGGCTGCTGCTTCATAGTTGCAGATTGTGACTTCATGCCTATAAGCCTGAAAAAGAGATAAAAAGATTCTAGATGAAGGTGACTGCAAAAATACAGATGCTTCTGGATTTCTTTATCTTATTTTTCTAGCCGAAGCAAAACAAATATTAATAGAAACAGCAACACCAGCATAATATTGCCATAATATGGCGCATCTTCCACCAGTTATGATGGAAGTATTTTTGTTGTTATAGCAAGATATGTTTTATTCAATACTGACCTCTGTGTACTCTCCCCGCAGACCAATGTAATACACACGAGTGGATTCTGCCCCAAAGTTTCGAGATATGTGTATTGATAAGTGCTGCACGTTGGAGAATCTTGCAATCCTATATAAAACATTTGCACATGATCAACATAGATTTATAGTGTCCAACATACAGGATATTGATGCACGTTAACATTTAAAATTGCTCACTTGGTTGGATACTCAAGCTCAGCAAGCGGATCCCTGTTTAGACGAAACGCTTGCTCTGGCTCTCTGCTTGTATCGTCAAATGACATTTGAGGGATGTTCTTGTACCTGCTCAAAAAGTACCCAGTTGCAACACTCATTCATGGAAATTGTAACTGCATTATTCATATGTGATGCTGCAAGAGATTTAGTTTTTTTATATACAGGTGCATCTCAATAAATTAGAATGTTGTGGAAAGGTTCGTTTATTTCAGTAATTCAACTCAAACTGTGAAACTCGTGTATTAAATCAATTCAATGCACACAGACTGAAGTAGTTTAAGTCTTTGGTTCTTTTAATTGTGATGATTTTGGCTCACATTTAACAAAAACCCACCAATTCACTATCTCAACAAATTAGAATATTTCATAAGACCAATAAAAAAAAACATTTTTAGTGAATTGTTGGCCTTCTGGAAAGTATGTTCATTTACTGTACATGTACTCAATACTTGGTAGGGGCTCCTTTTGCTTTAATTACTGCCTCAATTCGGCGTGGCATGTTTGAGTTGAATTACTGAAATAAATGAACTTTTCCATGACATTCTAATTTATTGAGATGCACCTGTACAGTGAAAGCAAATTCACAATCTCATTTTAGCTGGGATGCATTGTGGATGCAAATATTTAAATAAATGCAAGAGCATAGTTCACCCAAAAATGAAGCTCTCCCTCAGGCCAACCAAGATGCAGGTGAGTTTGTTTCCGAGTTTTTGATCTGAGAGCTGAGAGTGATATCTGATTCTGAGAGTTTTTGATCAAACAACTGATAAAAAGCAGCTGCACTGTTATCATTATTAAAACAAACTGCTTGGATACTCAAGCTCAGCAAGCAGATTCCTGTTCCCAGTTGCAACACTTATTCATGTAACTGCAGAGTTTATATTGCATTGCATCCATATGTGACACTGCAAGTCTCGTTTTTTCTGCAGTGAGTGCAAACTCACAGTCTTATTTCAGCTGGGTGTGACTCATCATCTTCTCCAGAAATAATGATCCCTTTCAGCTTCACGCTACCTGTAAACCTGCAGATTTAACCATATGCACCAACTGTATCCATTTCTGTCGGTAAACCACTTAGTATTTAGGCAAATTGTTTACAAATTATATTAAATAGACCATAATTAAGAACAGAAAAGAAACTGAAATGGATTCTGCTGGCAACAAATCTTACGGTATATTGAACAGAAGCTCCTCGTCAGCATCGCTTTCGACAAACTGAAAATAAAACAGGAGACATACATTAAAACCACAGAACAGCAATCTGACAACCGAGTTTATTAACCAGAGTTTATTAAAATCAGTTTATTTAATTTCTCAAAGACAACCGTTGACTTTTACTTAGAAGAGTTTATATAAAGTAAAATAAACATACATATATGCAATTAAGTATGTAAGTAAATACAGAAGTGTCTTAATTCGCAGTTTGACTCTATTCTACAGGATAATGTAGCGTCTGTCACACCTCCTGCATAACTAAGCCAGGTTAATTTGTACCTTCGCCCTGTCAGTGCGTTGATCCCAAGGCTTGAAGACCAGTTTACCGTCTCCGTCTCGGCTCTCATTCAAACACTGAAGCTTCTCGATATCAATGCGTCTGTACAGCTCATATTCCACACCTCGCTCTGCTGGCTCGTGATCACATTCACAGCAACCGCGGCCGTGGCCGCCGCCGTGGCCGTGTCCAGACATGGCGTGAACTTGCCGTTCGGGACCGAAAAAGTGCCGAAACACTCAAGATTAAGCTTACTGGAGAGATACGTACGACTGCTCTACTCTACTAACAGCTTCTATGACATATGCTAAAATCAGTTACACAGGTGGTAGAAGTGGGAAAGAACACAACACGCAAATACGAAACGTGGAACGTAATTGGACCAAAAAAAACAACGGAACCAATGAGGAGTAGTGTTTGGAGTCGCGTTCTTGTGACGCATTAACGTCTCGTTGGTCGCGTCGCGTCATCGTAAAGTGGAAAGAAAACAAGCTGTGCCGTTGACGTGATTCAGTTAAATAAATATTACATTATTTACTCGGTCTAATGTTGATTTAAACCTGTATCATTATATTTTTTAGTTTTAACACAAAGGTTATATGTTTTTGGCATAATGACAGCCACCTTTTACTGTCTTTAGTGGTCCACTGACGAAAAGGAAGTCATACAAGTTGGGACAACATGAGACCGAGTAAAAAATAACATAATTTCCATTTTAGGTGATAGGACAGAGTAATAGTGAAAAGTTGAAAATTAAAACATAACCAAGATGTAAAACACCCATAAATATATACATAAATAAGAACATGGTGAGAGCAACACATGGATTTTATTAAAAATGTCCATAGAACACTTCATAAAATCTATTAAAACGACTTGATCTTTCATTCAAGGCAAGGTCCAGGACTGCCAGGTCCAAGATTTAAAATAAATATGGTGGTGTGGAAGTGTAAAGTCCTTGAACGTTTTAAATCTCATCTCTTTCTCCCTCTCACTCTACAATAAAATCGTATATTTAGTCCCATGAAAATGCAATGATTATTGTAAGCAATTAAATAAACATATAACAGGGAGTCTGGGTTTTGGTGTCACATGGTAATCCGTAGTGTACCACTTGTTTTCAGTGTTTGTAAAACGCTTACAACATGCTATGACATAATTGAGTGTGGATGGTTGTTGATGCAGATATTTTCTGTGATTGCGTCCAGTGAGCTGTACTGATAATATTAAAAAGCATAAAAAGATAAGAGGCGAGAGGGCATTGCACATTTCCTATGAAGCATTACAGCAAAAAAAATGTTTCCTCTTCCAGTCGTTCTCTCTTCTATCACACACTCAAAAACATTTTTCCTTTTACCGCCGAGAAAATCTGTTCTTGAATGCTTTGATAGTCTTAGCCATCATTGGAGCAACTTCTGAAAAACAAAGAGCAGAAAAAGTGGTAAAACACATTCAAACAACCCGTTCAAGCAATTAAATGAGCAAATATTGGACATGATCTTAATAACATTAACGGTGAATATACATCATGATAAAGATTCATCTACATGACTAATGACATCTTTGTGACTAATGCAGCATTCACTTACTTGGCAGATGGAGGAGCAGCGCTTGTGCTGGTAGAACCATTTTTAGTGCCAAACTTCTCCTGTCTACGGCGGACATCTCGCGGAGGCTTAGCGACAGAGTTGACAAAAGCCAATTTAACCTGCCGCCCTGTTAGAAGTGAACAATACAGAGAAAACACTGAGTTGTTATTATTGTGAACAGTTTACTTAATCCTCGCCTACATTTTTATTGCACTCACTGAGCTACAATGTTAACATTTTCTATGCAAAGATCTATGCAATAAGTTTGATCTAAGAGTATTGATTACTGCCTGTGTGTACCTTTAGGTTTCTTTGCATGGGCAGAGGTGATGTTCTCTGTGAGCTTGCGCAGACG